AACTTCTTCGATTTCAGCATTTGTATCAACTTCCATCAACTTTGACAAGCTTGAACGTCAAGCAGCCCATGAAAGGTGAAGCCGGCGAGTAAGGGACCACAAACCTTCACTGAGCCTAGTTGAAGGGTTCCCCATGGCTGGGTATACTATGAAACTATTCCTGTAAAAGCTTTGATCCAACCAAACAGAAATTTGGCCAGGCAGGCGGCAGGTGTTGGGAAGTTGGCCCAACCCCCTGCACACCATCAGCCAGGCCGCTGCCCGGAAGGCATACTGCGCGGCTGGAACCACGTTGCCGGCGTGCAAAGCGGAGGCCCCGCAGCAGCGATGGAAGGAAAGGCCTACCGGAGGAAGTACATCCAAAGGTCATACTCCAAGTGTAAGTGGAAATGCACTAATCTAACTAAATGCGTACACAATGTGGAGAGCACACAAAACTGGGTGAGTACTTGACTATATATATATATATATAAATGCGTACACAGTGGAGATCACACAAAACACAAGGGTGAGTACCTGAGACTGCAACATGTAGTAACATGTAGTATCATCATCAGTTCTAGTAGAATTGAAGAATGAACTCTATGAACTTGGCGTTCGAAACTGATGCTCCATGTGTACTAAGTGTACGATGTCTGGCTGGTCCAAGCATCCAATCTATTAAATAAACAAGACACTCACTGTGATTGCCTTCTTTGGTGGAATCTGATTGTGCATCACCAACCTCACTGACCAAAAAACGATCAGATTCAAAATAAGCAAGGATATAAGCAAGGAATGCTCAATCCATCACATGGGCAAACGCAAAAAGCCCAATGGTTCGATGAAGACATGAGATCTCAGGGATCTCTTCAATCGGTGCCGCCCACTGCTTCCTGTCTGGACGCCTGTCCCAAACACTCCGTGGGACTGGACCTTTTGTTTACATGGACGCCAGCCAAACCAGCCAAATGTATGTAACATATCATCGTACACATGGATGGTCTGGGTGTGTGCTTCATAGCTTCCTTGGGGTGTCATAATGAACATCCTGTCTATTGAATTTGGCATGACTGCCCACAGCGAACAAAAAGTGCGGTTTGGATACATCGTCCACCGGATGATTTGTAGCGATGTGTGACTTGAGGCCCAATGGGCGTTCTCCAGCAAACCAAACGCTTCTGACTCTAAGCTCATCTGGAGTCGGCCCTGCATCTTTGTTGAACGGGTTAAACCTGCCATTCCCATGTATTGAAATGAGTAAACGGTATCAGCCAAACCCATTCTGAGGTACAGGGTATCTGGCCCATCAAAACATACTCCACACCCTCTCGCTCTCCAGCTCGTTGCCTGGTATCTGCCAGCAATTGGGCTCCCCACGCCCTCAGTGGGCTTCGCACCGGGGCCCTCTGGCTTACCTGTACGACCTCTGGTTTGAGAAGAAAAGACAATGTTTTGGCTCCCAACGGGGGCCATCTGGTTATATTATAGGAACACATAGGAAGATCCTCCAAGGTTGCAAACAGGCCATGACACACCTGTTCAACATCTCTGTTCAAGAACTTGTGCACAATGTCCATCACCTTCAGATTTCGAAGGAGCTTGTGAATTTTGAGGAAGCTGACGTCTGGTGTCAACCAGTCAATGAGTTTTTGGATGGTTTTAGAGTCGACCGTCGACCATACTATTTTTTTAAGTTTCTATTAGTTTCCCTTACCTAGGGCCGGAGGCAAACTGGGTGTCTGCCGTAAGGCAATCGTCACACTCAAATTCAGCCATCATCATTCCTTACGATTCGCACGAGTGACCGGTCGCAAGGATGGATGCAGTCGAGCTGTTTAATATCAACCCCTCTATCTCTTCTTGGCATAGCTCCATACTCCAGATCCCAGGTGTTTAAATCACACACATGTCACGAACGTCATAGAACTTCAGGCATAGGTGGGTTTTGAGCGGCTATGACCATTCCAAGTTAGGGACCAACAATGGTCTTCGGATGCAACTTGTTCCGCGTTTTACTATCACCCAAAGGCTTTCCACCTCTCACCACCCCTTCAGCCCTTTTTCCTCATTCCTTCCCCCCTCCACCGCACGCACGCTTGCGCATCCAGCTGCGCCGGATGCGCTGCCGCGCTCTCCAGGTCTGGTTCTCCTGGACGTAGCAACAGCGCTCCAGGTTGAAGCCCTGCCGCCCGCAAGCTGTGCCGATGTCGTGCCATCCATCATAACACATGTTTTTTCAGGACCCAAGTGAGTTCGACGATCCCATGTAGCTCGGTACCCCAGGTAGCTGGGGTCCTATTTTACGGTCACTGGCGACCTGACCTTGGATGGATGGAAAATCACTTTCATGCTCCTTACATGCAACACGCACCTTGGCCTGAGCTGCCGGCAGCTCCCAACAGCTGCGGTTGCCCGGATCCCAAGTCACATCCTCGGCGCACAGATTTGGAGCCGGAGTTTGGAGTAGCCGCTCCTTCTAATGTCACAGTTTGCAGCTGCTGCTGTTTGTGACTGTCTTGGCAGGATCTGCTTCCCCTCCAGCCCGCCGGAGATTGGCATTGTGCAGCCCGCCAGGCCCGCGAGGGCCATGGGTTTTTCGAAGTGCAGCAGTGATTGCCACGGCACAACTGGTTCAGAAGTACCAGTCCCACACAACAAGTATACTGGGCGTGTGACTCGGTCCCTCGATATTTGACACGTTCACAGCATTTCACTGCATGCACTCACTGGACCTCGTTGAAACACCAGTGGTGTGTGAAAAGGTTCTCGAACTACATGCCCAACCTCCCTGTTCACCCTACCTGTACACTAGGATTGGAACCACCATGGGGCCCAGATGCGATCTACTCTTCATCGGTCTTGAAAGGCCAGGGCGTCTAGAGAGATCCTTGGGCAACAAAAACATCCCAACCCCCCCGAGTCCCAGGCTTGGCGTTCCGACCCTATCGTTGGGTTCGCTTTGAACGAGATCCAAAGGGGTCCCCTCCAGCCAGCCTCGCCTCGTATCTTAGCGTCTTCGACACAAAGCTCCGCTCATCTCGAGGCCTCTTGGGCCTTGGCCACCACTTGGAGTCCACTGGATTTGGAGCAGGAAGATGCCAAAGGACTATTCAGATAGCGCAGTGTCCCCTGTACCGAAAAATATATCCGAAAGACATTACTTCCGGAAGAAAACCCATATATATCCAGCAATTATCCAGCAAATCCTTGCAAGAACAAACACACCAAAACAAACACACACTACTGACAAATGAGGCTGACACTTGAGCAACATCCTGGGCGAATTGCCGTGGGAATCCACGGGCGATTTAGCTCCGCGATCGACGGCAAAGTGGAGTCTATTCAAATCGTTTGGCCAATTGTCCCCCAACGCTCCATCCATGCAGGCATAGATGACCTACATTCACCCCTACAACCTACCTGGTACCTGACACAAGTATATTAATAAACACCAAGAGTCAAAGCATACCGAATGTAGAGAAAAAAAAAGCATCAATATGGACAACTGCCCGTTTGCAATGAACTCTCTCACCCACTGGGACTGTAGTCGGGATCGCAATAGTCAACAAGGTGGTTCAAGTTCAACCTGAAAGCATGGCCGAGCTCAAAGGGGGAAGAACATCCAAGAGAGGTTGGACATCCCTAAGGTCACCCATCCCATATGTACCACTACAGGGTCCTAGGTTCAGGTCTCTCAACCTCTCTTGGAAAGAACCTGTTATCTCGTGATTCAGAACACCAAACATCCAGCTGATTATCCGATCGATGTAGAATCTGGGTTTTATGCCCTCCCCAGATGAAGAGGTTTTAACAATCCTGTTACTGATGGACCTGAGTGTCCACAGTGGCGTTCTTGGTATTACGCCCAAACACGGGGTCATTCGTTGGGCAGATTCCGGAACGTTTTACAATCCGAATGGGGTGGATTTATGAATCAACATGCAGCTATCCTCGGAGAGTTGTGCTCCAGTCCTCGCCAAGCGACGCGTTGCGCAAACTCTCCAGGCCACAGGCCGGATACCACGTGACGAAGGCCAGAAGCAGCACCGCGCGGGAGGAGGCGCTGTAGTGTGGCATGGGCACAGGTCATTTGGGGACGGGAATGTATATCACATGGTTCCAGTGGAGGCTGCATGGTGATCTACGCAAACTTTTCACCACCGCCTGCGCAAATCAAACCATTCATTATCTCCTCTCTGCTGAAACAGGTTGTGTCAAAGGTGGATGCATGACACAAGGACAAATCGAGCAGTGTAGCTCTGTTGGGCAATGTTGGGCACCAGAATTGCCAATCCTGTGAGGGAATGAGGGCATCTGTACCCTTAAAGGACCGAAAACTCAGGTGATCAGCCCCAGGATGTCTGCAGTAGCATCACAGAAATAACACAAACCAGTGCTGGGCTGCTAGAACTGGAAGTTGCATCCCCTAATTCTTAGAAACATGAAACATGCAGCCCTCACATCTGTGTGTTTTGCACTGGATGGCTCTCTGTTCATCCTGCATGTGGCTGTGCGGCCGTCTCCATGCATGCGGCCGCTTTGAACAAATCGTCAGGTGATCCTTTCAGCAAGCCATTTGGCTGCGCTGTGCAAGGCATAAAAACCAAAGCAAGCACAGCAAACCAATCAAGCCGGGAGCAAAATGCTTCACTCTAACCATCATACAATATCATGCATAAAGCCAAACACATCCAAACCCTGCTCATCTACAACACCTTAGTTTGCGAAACAAAAAACAGGACTCTACAAGAACTTTACAGCAGTAGCCGGCAATGCGTCAAGTATCTTGAATAGGATTGTTTTGGGATAGTCTGTGCATCGGCCTAGGAAAACACACCATCCTCTGTAGCTTGTGCAAGGGCCGCAACTGCCGAATGGCAATTGGCCTTGTGAACAAACCCTTCTTTTGAGGCCCTGGCCACACCATACAAACCCATACAAAGTCACATTTGGTTCAGGTAGATTACAGGTCTGTGAAAGTTTCATCCTCCATCCGAAGGAATCGTCCCGAGCTTGGCCTTAGCAGCGATGACCGGCGCTAAGGCCAATCGGCTCTCCTGACAGATAGAGAGGGGACGCCCAGTGGGATTCCGGTGAAGATTGGAGGCTTCAAAGTAGCTTCAACATCTTTACACACGCATGGGTACTTGTCAGATTGACTACAATTTTAAAAAACAACAAACACATCTGCAGCTTTGCCAGCCTTTTGCGGCATCAAGTCGATCGCTTGCGAGTCTTCCAAAAGATCGCTCCAGAGTGAATGTCAATATAATTCAATCCCTCTGGACTAGCTCGCGGTCTCAGATCTCGAAGAGCTTCAAAGTCAAAGTCAATCCCTCTGGAGGAGCTACCATTGGGGTGATAGGTACCTTTGTTACCAATTCCCGTGGCTCGTGTCGCCCGGAACATCGGACGATCACCATCATGGGTCGGCCCTCTCTCACGATGGACATCGCATCAATTGGTTGGAAGAGTTACACAGCACCCAGGTCACCCAACGTCTAGCACCCGACGTCTTGGAATGGCCTTCTCCCTTAAAGCCATCCGCACTGACATCCGAAACCCTGCATCCTCACACGGACACTCACACTGACCCTGGGAACACAAAATCACTCCACGAAACCCTGCGCTGAGAACCTACCCGAAGAACCCACCCAACAGATACTTTGTTAAATGTGTATAAAGATTAAAAGAGAGATGAATGAAACAAGAGTTAATCATTCAACAGATTTAAGCAGCCTCCCACCTCCCACTGGGTGCGCCCCACGTAGCGTGTGTTGGCCACATCGCACGAGCGCAGGTTGCTGAGGCGATACTCCACGAACATTCTGGCGCCGTGGCGTGGCGGTGTGCGGCACAGCGGCGCTCCAAAACGCAGGGCTTTTGGTTCATGTGTTTTGCCTCTCGGAGATCCAGAAATGCTTGGGGTGCAACGGACATGTCAGGGTGGTGTTTTGTCTCATCCAGTGGATGTGATGTTCGACTGCCTCTCCTCCATGGAGAGCACATGTGACGCACCAGGAGTCACATGATCCATGAAGAGGGCTTTGGGTGGATGTTGCTATAGAGTTCTGTTGTTACGTTTGTTGAGTTGAACAATCTAGACCTATATAGACCAAAGAAAATAACAGCCGCCGTCATGTTTCGTCATGCACATGCAAACGAGACTTGGGGTGAAAAGTGCTTGCGCTCCGAAGCTTACTTATAACAACTGCGGTCAGATCAGAAGATGAAATGATTGAACAGTTCCCCAGCTTCTGCTTTGACTCCAAGAAACGAGAAGAGAATCCACCTTCTTCCCTGGGCATTTCCCGAGTCGAACGAGTTCTCTCAACACATTTCCGTAAGCAATCCGTGCTCAAAGACAATCCCTTTTTTCGAAGATGCAGAGCAAGGTCCCTGATGTTCCGAGCCATCCTGGAGTGCTCCGTAAAACTTGGAAGACGTCATCATTCCTATGTCCATCTGCAATGATGACCTCGGACCGTGGCGCGACTCCGGCTTTGAGAAGACGAGGGGGGGCGCGGCCCATCGTCCACGGAATCGATCTGGCCCAGCGCGGTCGCGCGGTCTGGGTCTTGGATGGGTCCTTTAGACAGAAGCGCTCACGGAGGGCCGTGGGCCGCTGGGCGGCCGTGACGGGAGTGATGGACTTTCTCTGGAGCTTTCGAAACCACCATGCTCCCACGTCCTGGTGCAGCGCGTCTGGAATCCTGCATTTGCAACTCCAGCTTGGACAATGCTTGATTGAAGGTCTCCAAGTCTCGCAAGCCAGAGACTGGGCGATATGCTTCGTTTGACCTTTGAGGATCTCCATGGAAGAACACTCACTTTCCAGACTCCCTCAGTTTACCTGGAGACATTGAACAGCTGTTTGGTGGTTCTGGTGGTAGTATATAATGATGGTGGTCGTGCTGCTGCTGCTGCTGGTCTCTGTTGATCTTGTTGCTTCTCCTCTCCTTCTTTACTATATTATTTTTATTGTTATTTGTAATTTGTATTAATATTATTCTTTGTTTTTATTCCTCTTACGCCCATCTTCTTCTTCTGCCCCTCGGCGTCGTCATCGTCGTCGCTGCACACAAATCACTGGGCAAAAAAAACAAACCACCAAGTGGAACGCAAAACCATATCTGGAATATCTCTGTCAACTTATTTGTTGGATATCTTGTTGGCAAAGAATTGGCTAAGTCTCTTCTGTTCCAAACAATGGATTTTGGTGGGTATGATTCTGCCCCTAAAACACTGGCTGTCTCAAACACTGGAATCTAGCCATACAGCCCACTGCATGAACAACTATAACTACACTCCATCATATACCAGCGTCTTCCAAGTGACCCTTTTGGCGTCCCATCCAGTGACCTTTTACAAGCCTGTTCGTGACCAAGGTCACCAGTGGATCAAGTTGGGAAGATCCAGGTACCATTATTTCCAGTGGATCTTCCACTTGCCAGGACCATCATTTCCAGGTCCTGGGGATCCACTTGCCCCTCTCCCCTTTCTTCTTGGTAGGAGTGTTTCCTCGTTGGTCAGAGCCCAGGCCATCGCCGCGGCCGTGTCCCGGACCTCTTGGGCCGAAGCGGTGCCGGATCCCCGAAGAGCTTGTTGTAATTGGACCTCGGTGAAAGCGCGGTGCCGGTGCCGGAGCCGCGCGGTGCCGCTCGGTGATGGCGAAGAAGAGCTGCCAAGGGAGCAAAGGTGTGAGCTCAAGTGCCGTGCCGTAACTCGACATATTATGAAAGCTTGAAACGGCTCACTCAGGCTGCGAAACAAGCCGAGTCCGATTCACAAGTCCTATTCTAATTGAAAAGAGTTAGTTCGAGACACACACTCTGACATTGGTTTGCTGTTAGCTCAATTCCCACGTTGAGAAGGAAGGTGAGGGAACCGCAGGGTGAAAAGGTCCGCGCACCTGTATTGTTTGAACAATCTGTTGACATGTCTGTGGTGGCGAACGTCAGCGCGACTCAGCTGCAGGAAACGCGGCAAAGGA